AACCGAAAGGTTCAAGGGTGATGAAAGTCATAAGGATGTGGACTACATATTGCCATATCTAGTCTATTGTATGGTTATGGAACTCGCAATTTGGATAACAAAGATTTACATTTTAGTAATAATGGGTTTAGTAACTAGTTTACTTGGTATTTATTAGTTTTATAAATGTGTTAAAACTAATACATTTTCAGCATACATCTTTTACATTACATTTTAGGATTGGTGAAGTAACATAAACTTTACAAGGATAACTAGGTTTTTAGTATACATCTTTCACATTAGGAAAATATGGCATTTTCCTAGGATAACAGTTAAACATAACCAGAACCGTGTAACCTAACAGTTAACCAAACATTACTTTTAAGAAAATATGGGATTTTCTTGGGTCGTAACATTTTCAGAAACCAAAAGGAAACTTGTACATTTTCACAAAACAAAACCGCTTATGAACTCACCAGCTTTATGCTGATTTTTAAACTGCTTGTATTCTTAGGTCCGCATTAGACAGGTACCCGATGATCCTTTTTCCGAAGACGGAGTGCATCAAAGACACATCTTGCTTTTGTTTAAATATACATATGTATAACACTGTACAACTTCACTTTTGAACAAATGTAAATTTCTATATGTAATGTAATGGTCGTTTACTTTGCTTACTATGTGCATTGGATTTGATACTCAACGTGGAGTCCGCCCCAGAAATGTTTCCGCCTTGGTTTTTAGGGTGTCACAGTTCGCATAAGTCAACATTGTTCTCGCTGCTTCACAAAGAGAACGATTTATTCTTTCAACATCACCATTTTACTGCGTTGTGTATGGAGAAGAAAAAATTATGCGAAATTCCTTTTTCTATTAAGAACGAATCTAGAACCTTTTTCTTAAACTCTAAGCCATTATCACTCTTGATCTTGCAAAACCCTTTCTTCAGACTTAATTTGATATGTTTGATGAAATCAATCATCACTTGAGTTGTTTCTGATTTTAAACGAAGTAAATATACCCAAGTAAACCTAGAAAAATCATCAACAATAACCAAAATGTACCTCTTTTATTGAGTGTTTTAACTGTCGAAGGACCACAAAGGTCAATATGAAGAAGTTCCAAAGGTTCGAGGATTTTCGAATCAATAACAATTAGATGTCCTTGACTATGTTGTTTACGTTGCTCGCAAGCTGCACACAAAGTATCATTCTCAAATTTTAAAACTAGAAAATCACAACCACCAACTTATTCAAATTTTTAAAATTTAAGTGTGAGAGTCTTTGATGCCACAGCCAACTTATGTCTGAAGAAGATTTCGAAAGCAAACAAATTAAAGGAACAACAACAATGGGTTTGATGTCAAGTGTAAACATATCGCCTTTTCGTTTAAATTCTAGAAGAACTTCTTTAGTTTCTTTGATCGATATTACACTTCCTTCTTCATCAAAATCAACTTAATTTCCAGTGCCCACAACAATTTATGAAACACTTATCAAATTGTGTTAAAGACTTTCGATATAAGTAACCCTGTTGATTGTATATTTGCCATTTGTTAGCTAACCATAACCTTTAACCTTGCATTTGTTATTGTTTCCAAACTTTACTACACCCGCATTTTCCAATTTTCAAAAGTCTCTCAGGTTTTCCTTCTTTCCATTCATGTGACGAGAACAACCACTATCGATATACCATTTATCATCATATTGCTCGTCACTCAAAAACTACAATCAATGAAAGAATTTAGGTCCCCAAGGCTATTTGGGTCCTTGGTTATTAGAACAAACTGTATGATGAAACGAATACCCTAATATCCTATTTCAAACTTTTGATTTAAAACTATCAATTAAGTCCACTTGGTTAGATAAGGGTACAGAAATGTAATCATTCAAGGGTTTAGAATCAACATTAAATTTTTCCTCTTTATTCTAAGTTCATTTGTCACTAACTTTTTCTTTTAGAATAGCTTTCCATTGGTGAAGAGTAGGATTTGACTCTTTCGATGATGAACTTCCATGAGAAGATTCATTCCAATACTTCTCATAAGCATCCTTGATTTTTTCTTGAGAGAATTTCCCGGATTGAAATTTTTTCCTTTTCCTTCTAACCAGTGATTGATATTCTTCACATCAATTTTTCCTTTCATATATAAAGCTTTAAATGTGTGTTTCGAAGGTGGGTTTGAAAAATGTGGTTGTCCAGGCTTAAACTGTTCTTTTCATTTCCTTTGAACTTCCAATTTCAAAAAATTTCGTGTTGGCACTCTTGTAGAAACATGTGCTTGAAATCAATTTTGAAAACGTTTTTGATAACCAACATTTCTTTTTGAAAATACTTTTTGTGTATTAAAAAATTGATTTTGATGTGGAACACGATGATAAGTCTTTTGGCCATTTGATTGAAAACCATGTCATTAAAAATTATGTTGTGAAAACCTTTTGTTTTGAAAACGAAGAACAACATTCTTTATTCGTTGAGTTTTCACATAGTTATGATGGTACGAAGTTTGAACATGTGATGCTTGATTTAAAATTGAAACTTTCCCTTTGGTTTTTGAAAAATCCTTTTGTGATTTGGTGTGAACACTTTCAATCTTTTTCTGTTCAGACATTTTTGTTGAAGCTTGTTGTTTCTTTTTAGTTTCAAATTTATGCCAAAAAGATTTCTTTCGAGCTTTGTTCATTGAAATTCCATATTCTTTATACTTCTTTGAATATCTTCTTTTGAACTTTGAACTTTTTGAGATGGTTTTTCAAAAACATTGGCATTCGTTTGTTGGTTAAACTTTGATTTTTCTATTTTAACATCCCAAGTTCAATTTTGTTTTTCTCTTTGAAAAGTGTAAGAGTTCTTGGTGAGATTTCTTTCCATAGTACTTTGATTAGAGAAAAATCCTTCTTTCGAAATATTCTTGTTATCTTCTTCAACAATTTTATTGAATTTAGGTTTGACCTTTTCATTATTTCCTGACATAAGAAACACTTGATTTGGAAAATTAAGTTCATCTGAGCATTTGAAGTTAGGATACACAACCGTATTTGGTTCAAGAAAATGAGAACCCTTTTCCTTCATGATTGTGTTGAATTTTTTGGTATCTTCGTACACTTGTTTAATAACAACTCGAGGAATGGTTGTTCCTTTCAGAATATCATCATCATCATCTTCATCACTATTTGTCTAACTATCTTCAATAGTCACATGGTCAGGATCACGAACTTTCGAAGTCGAGGGTTGGTCGTTGTAAATTTTAACTGAAGAATCATAACATTTTTCTTTCTCCTTAGCTAACGATTGGACATTAATGACAAACAATTCATAATAGTCAACTACTTCCTCTTCTTCAATTTCACAGATATTATCGAAATCGTCTTCAATATCAGCAAAATTGTTTTGGGATTCAGATGTCGAATTCTCAGTTCTTTTCAAAATCCTGATTTGTTTAGTTTTGTTCAAGGTCTCATTCACAATTTCAACTAATTCATTTGCATCCAAATATTCATCAATTTTTACTATACCATAAGCATATAAATCATTTGGTACTTTATCATATTCTGATATCTTCATTTCAAAGTCATGGGAAATTGAATATATTTTCTCCCTTTCGAAAGCTAAAAAGAGCAAAAGTTTCCTATGTTGTTCTTTGCTAATGTCCGATCAATGATATAAGGCAGTTAATTTAGCATACTGTTAGGAGTGAATCCTACTTAAATCAAATAGACTCAAACAAGTAAAGAATATGAACACGAGAAATAGATCAAAATGTGCTTAATGATTATAAGCCACAGCCTCAAAAGAACTCGATGAAGAATTGCTACTATAGTGGCATGTAGGGTTACAAGACTATTTCCAAAGATACAAAATGTGGTGCATGCATGAACCTTAAATACTATAACCCTAATAATAAAAGATGGCTGGATAGGCCAACACCGGTTACAAAATGGACTAAATAGATAATCACAATGATGCAACACATATACCCAATAGTCTCCCCCTTCGCATCATTTGATGTGAGGGTCCTTCAAGGCTAAGGTTGCTTCTACACTTCAAAAACCTATAGAATGATGCTCAGTGGAACCTTGCAAACCTGGATATACCCTATAATCATATCCAAAATGCACTTATTTTCGCCTTTGCTGTTACCATTGTACTTGTTGACCATGACCAAAACATACTCCAGGCAAGAGGTAGTGAAAAGACGCTTATCAGCAAGAACGAAGCAAGCCTTATTAAATTCTGCATCATTTCGTTCTCTCATCTGAAAGTCCACATACCATCCTTCCTTTTATATGTTCCCAGACTTCAATTTCTCAAAATATTCTAGGACTTCTTTAGGGAGAACAGTGGGCTTCCTTCGCAGTACGACAACAATTTCCACATCCATTTTACCTACCTCTTAAATATACAAAACTAACATTTGTTTTAGGTAAGTAATAACGGGCCCATATTTTTGTCCATCTCTCAACAATAAATTGTAAAGCATGATCCAGTCTTAAGGATTGAGGCAAGGCAGATCTATAAGAGTGAATTCGTGGACCTGACTGGACGAACCTCTGATAACCTAAAACTTTGCATTTGGGAAGTTGTCGGTTACGATTGGACCAATGACCTTCACTGCTGTAATCTTTCTAGCACTCCATGTTTCGTGTTGTGGTTTCATATTCTTGAGATAAAACAAGAAGAGTAAATAAGTCGAGCTGCTATCTGTGGATGGAACATTTTCTACTTTCACAAAGGAGCAAAACGTAAAGGTTTTCTGAGTTGTTGGCATGTCCAACTGTGAATCTTGTGTATTTTGAAGATCAAATGACACAACCGGTTTCAGCCAATATTGACCTGAGTTTCGCATTCAGCTTTCTCTTTTGCTTCAGCCTCGCAGATTATTCTTTGATGCTCATCCATCTGAGCTTCATGTTCTTTTCTTTTTTTTTCAGTTCATTTTGATCAGGCTCTTCATCTTCATTGTTTTCAACATTTGGTTCTTCACTAATGAGCTTTTATTTTCCTATAGGCTCAGTTTCACTCTAGGCAGTATGCTTGACTGAAGGTTTGGGGTCTTCCTTCTTGGATTGAGTCACACATTCAGCCCCTTGTTTTGAAATAGAGCTAGATTCGATAACCCCTTCTAGTCTCTGAAGCATGGAAAAGGCGATCCTGAGTTTCTCATAAAGATGCTTCTTCATCGTGATTATGATCATTGTGTCATGAATCTCAATAATATCCAAAAGCCGGACATTTACATCAGCTATACAACTCTTCATAGCTGCTTTCTCAGAGAGTAGATCATTGAATCATTTTTCATCATTTTCCAATGTAACCATCAAGAGTTTTACCTTTTCAGTCTTTACAACAAGAGCATCCATAATTTTGCTCTCCATGGCTATGCCATCATGAAGCTTAGAGATCTTCGAGGAGATGGACGAATTGAACTCATCATGGTAAGTTTTAAGACCAGTGTGAACCTCTTGAAGTTTCACCATCGCTGTTTCAAGGGTTGATCCCAGTCTAGGAATGACTTCATTAGCCTTCGCGATATTGGACTCAAAGGAGCTCTAGAACTTATCCATGAATACCCGTGCATCAATAATTTGTTTATCAAATTTTTCGGTCGTGTTGTTACAAACAGTAGCAGAAGCATCTACCGTCTTGTTCATCTTTTCAAGGTTGGCAGAGTGCTCCTTCGTAGGGGTCTCAAGATGGGACTTGATTATGGCTTGCGAATATTCATCATCGGATGGTGCCATTGAATCTTGAAGAAACAAATCTAGTTTTTCATGAATCTCCTTGAGTTGCACTCTTGTAAAAGGAGCTTCATCATCACTTTTAGTCCTGACGTTAGATGGACTGTAGGTGAATCCTGTGAAGTAGCCCTTATCACCGTAAATCATGTCTGCGTCATTTTGGCGAAGAAGAGAAATGGGAGGTGTGGAATGACCAGTTGCAAAACCTGAAGCTCCTGCCCACGCATCAGATCTGTTGACAGTAACAGGAGGCTCAACAGTGGTCATTGGTGTGGTAGTGGAATCAGTGAAAATAGGAGGTGGGATTGAGGAACGCCCAAAGATACAGTTGGGCATAGGGAAATGGAGATAGGTGTTGGAATAGCAGCGGTAGGAGAAGGAATAGAGGCATTTCAATGAAATCATTGGTAATAGGAACTGAGACAGGTATCTCAGCGGTTGCCTCATGATTCGTAAAAATGGGTCGCGAAACCTCAGGATGTGAAGTTGTTGCAGTGTCTTCGTGTTGTACATTCTCATCTTCTTCAATGCGAACGATGCAGTGGGTGGTAAACTGTGAACCTTTGCTTTCACTAGGGGTTTGAGATCCCAGCTTGCAAGCTGTCTTCTTTACCTTTTGCTTCTTTGTAGGAGTTGGAGCTAGTACAGATGAGCCAGTGTGCGCTTTTCGTTTCTTGGGGGTTTGAGCGGGTTCAGACGGACTCTGTGGAGCACCTTGTTTCTTTTCTCTTTTCTTATGTCCTTTCTATCCTCCTTTCATTGGTTTGTCACCTTCATTGATGATCGATTGCATCTCAAGAGTGAAAGGACGAAAGTCTGAAACTGGAAGTTTCCTATAGGCTTCAAGAATCTTGCTTGCAGCACAGACATAGCGAAACATGGCGTCAGAAATGGAGCCAACAAATGAGAACTTTGAGTTGTCTATAAGAATGATGTTTGTAGTGTGGAAGATTAAAATGGCAGACATGAAGGAATCTTCCATCACTGGAATCTAGAGCTTTTCAATTGCCCTTTGAACGATGATTGTCCAGAGGCAAGCATAGGAAATTTCACTGTGTCAGGTTGTAGAATGGGTACATTGGACCAACTGAGCCAAAAGAACAGCCCCAATATCAATGTTTCCCCGGTGTAGATCCCATACATGATGGTCATGAATAACTTACTTGCAAAATGCGAGCCAGTCACATGCTCAGAAAAACTTTTGAACATTAGGGTAAAAAGCCCATTCCATTGAGGTGGCATATTGGGTTTCCTGAATTTAGAGATGGTAGTTAGGATTTCTTTGCACCCCATTTTGTAAAACATCTCCATGATGGTTGTGATGGAGATGGAATCAGGGTAAACCATATCATCATTTTGAACAAGCCCTAGTAAGGAGCAAAATCTGGACATGGTGATTGAGGTTTTCATGTTGTGAACGTCAAAGGTAATTCTTTGTTCCTCCTTGATATAGCAAGCAGACGAATAGGCTTTTGATAAGAGAAACATCAGAACAATCTCTGATGTGGTCAAAGCTTTGACTATAGGAGAATATATCAAGCACTCGACAATGGGTAGTAAGAAGTTGTCATACTTGAGAGGATCAAGATCGAGAATCATGTTTTTATTGGGCTTGATCATAAGAAGCGACAACTATGTTGATTAATCTTGAACATAAGGGGTTTCTGAAGAGACGGCCATGGAAGCTTTTTGGAGAAGATGATGAACAACAGAGAAAAATCGCTTGAGGGTTTTTGAATTCTTTGGACAATGGTAAGGAACGATGAATCATCGAAAAACCCTTTATACCATTAACCAGGATAGAGAAAATAGGGTGACGATTGTGTTTTATCCTCTGAAACGTCGCCTAAAAAGACGTGATGTCACAACTGTTACGCCAGAAAAAGGTGTCAGGAGGTGGGAAATCATGCGTCGTTTCAAATTTCATGTGCCTATTTGAAATCTAATCCATTACGATTGCCACTTTAATTACTCCCTTTCGCGGTTGAGTTATGTATCACCTTTCGTATGTAGATGAAACCTTTTGCTTTTAAGTAAACTCCAGTTAAATTGTGAAACTGAAAATAAATGTGAGTTCCACAAACCACACTTTTGGAAAATCACAAGGATCTTCGTGTGAGAGTGTGCCAAAGATAAATAAATAAAGCCAAACATATAAGTGGGATTTTAGTGATGTCTTGTCTAAGACACAAAACAGTGGATCTCGGGCAATGATCTCTTCCTTCGAAGTCAAGAGAGACTAAGAAGTGTCTGTGTGGTTCCCCATTGAACGAAGATCACTTGTTTGTTAATAAACAACAAAAGGTATCTTTTAAAAGGTTTTATTGAGTGGTTCTATCTACAACGAAACTACAAAACTTGATATAAGTCTGAAAATTTGAAAGAAGTACTTGTTGGACTTGTATAGTCAATTGAACAAGTAAGATTTGGAATTATTTTAAGTGAAAGGGATTTGTATAGAAATATGAAGAAAAAAATAAAAACACAATCTATTGGGTAGAAGCATTGTAGGTCTAGAACATTTCATTAAGATATCGCAAAAAGAAAAAGTGATTTCTTTGTACAGACAACAAAAGTGGAGTTTCGTTAATTCCTTGGTGAAAAGTCTAGAACATGTATATTGTTCACTGTCAATTTGTAGACATGTGTTGGATTTTGGGTTTCACTTAATTCGTGGCGATAACGAATTGAAGATCATAAACACAGATGTTGTGTAACCATAAACCTTAGTGATAATATCTTAGAGTCTCGAGGGTTATATTGGTGAATGTGAAAGTGATGGAGAAGAGTATGAGGTGGTTCCAAAGAAATTAGTGTACCTCTGCTATGCGAATGTGACCAAGTAGCGAACTCTTAACTTATAATGAGAAGAGTAAGGTAGCTCAAGACTTATGTGAATGAACGACCAAATTGAGAAGAAATGATTGGTGTTATCGAATCATTAAGGCTTCAACATAGAGTCACTAAGGCTTCAGACAACATGCAACAACACGCTTCTAGGGACACTTAACTAGTACATAGATAAGAAAGTTTATACCTACCCCAGCATTCGTAATTGAGATCACCAAGATTCTTGACATGAAATCTACTCAATTATGCAATATTTTTGGAATTTTGAAATACGTAAAATAAAAGAGAAGAAAGTAAAGAAAATATTTTCACAATTTTCTTTTTCTGAAAAGAAATAAAAACAGAAATGAAATATTTTTGAATTTTTGATTTTTCAAAAAAAAAATATTAAAATAGAAACAAATAAAATACTCTTGTATATTTGAACATATATACATAATATACAAAAGGATATAAAAAATATCCAAACCACGAGTGAACAGTTGATCGTGAGACACTGCGAACTTTCGCAATATAAAAGAGGGTTCTGAATTTGTAGGACAGAAGATGGTTGCGAATTATTGCGAGCGTTCTCATCAATTCACATGACATCCTATACACTACTAAAGTGAAAGTGTAACTAAAAGGGAAAGTGTCACTTTGAAACCGAAAGTGGTTTTGGAACTGATTTAGCTTCCATCATTCCCAACCCTTGAGGAATATGATTGAATCTAGATTCTGGTAATGCTTTTGTGAAAATGTCAGCCAATTGATAAGCAGATATAACAAAATGTATCTCAACATTACCATCTACCACATTATCCTTGTTGAAGTGATACCTTAGTGTTATATGTTTCGTCTTTAAGTGTTTCACTAGGTTGTGACAAATGTGAATGGCACTTTCGGAGTCACAACATAATGGGATTTGTTTCATTTTTAGGCCATAATCATGATGTTGACTTTGAATCTATATGACCTAGGAAGTGCATGAGGCAGTAGCAATGTACTCGGCTTTAGCTGTTGATAAGGAAACATAGGTTTGCTTTTTGGATTGCCAACTGACAACTTGGCCATCAAGAAATTGGCATCCTCTAGTTGTACTCTTTCTATCTTAACCGAATCCTCCAAAATCAGCATCCGAAAATTCTTGCATAAAGAAACCAGACTTTGAGGGGTACATATTCTAAGTGAATATGTTCGTTTAAGATACTTGAATATGTTCTTTATAGTAAACATGTGAGGTTCTCGAGGATTAGATTGAAACCTTGCACAATAACAAAAGGAAAACATGATATCTAGTCGACTAGTAGTTAGATACATTAGTGAACCTATCATTTGATGATAAAGTGTCATATCTTCAGCTGGTTTTTCCAGAGATGGAGTTAGTTTTGTTCCGAATTCCATTGGAACCTTCACCTTTGAGTCTCCTACCATTCCAAACTTACCAAGCAAGGCCTTTGTATAAGCTTCCTGATTTATGAAGATTCCTTCCAGACTCTGCCTTATGTTCAATCCAAGGAACAAGTTAATTGGACCCATAGAGCTCATTTCGAACTTCATTTCCATTAATTTTCGGAACTCAGTAGTTAAGATTGGGTTTGTTGAACCAAAAATGATGTCATCAACGTAGATTTGGACGATCATCAAGTGTTCACCCTCTTTCGTGCGAAAGAAGGTTGGGTCGACCGAACCTTATTTAAAGTTAGCATGTTTTAAAAAAAAAATGAGTAAGAGTTTTGTACCAGGCTCTTGGGGCTTGCTTCAGATCATAGACCACTTTGTCCATAATATAGTAGTGGTTGGGATATTTTTCATTTATAAACCCAAGTGGTTATTCCACATACACTATCTATTCAAGTTCCCCATTTAAAAATTCACATTTGACATCCATCTGGTATAGTTCAAAGCTCTTCTGCGCTACATAAGCCAAGAAGATACAAACACATTCCAACCTTGAAACTAGTGTGAAAGCTTTTTTGTAGTTGACGCCTTCTTATTGGAAATATCCATTAACAACCAATCATGACTTGTTTCGTATGACGTTGTATTCTTTGTCTAACTTATTGCGAAATACCCACTTGAGACCAGCAATAGATGCATCTTTTGGAGTGGGAATGAGTCTCCAAACCTTGTTTTGTTCAAACTCATTGAGCTCCTCCTACATTGCTTGCACC